GTGTGTGTGTGTGTGTGTGTGTGTGTGTGTGTTTTCCTGGCATTTGTCCTCTTCGCCAACCACGGGATCTTGTAAATGGTGAAAGGATGGTTTTTGTGTAGCCATTTCTTCTTTTTAAAAAAAAGAATTCAAAATTACCTTTAACATTTCAAAAGCTGAATTGTATTTAGAATTTTTTTTTTTAACTTTTAGTAAAGCAGTAACAAAACTCTTAATTACACCATTAGCACGTTTTCCTTTTGATGAGCCTTTAATACTACATAACATGTGTTTTCATTCTTTTGGTACTGATAGATGGTTAAAAAATGGTCTGATAGATTACAAAATCTGTGGAAAATGTACCCATCTTAAAGCATAAGTGAGGAAATAATTAGGTGATGTCTCACCTTCAGTAAGTCGATCTGAGGAGCAATTACCAAGGAGCGTGTTATAAATGCAGAATCCCAAGCTCCACCCCAGAGCTGAATCAGAATCTGCACTTAACAAGTTGGACTTTTTGTCATAGGTGATAGATTATTCTCGGTGACATGATGCAGAGTCTGTGGTTAATAATAACGATCTCTCTCCTCTTAGAGCACCTGTTACATGCCTGGCATCGTGACTGAGTTCTTTCATGTGCTTGAGCTCATTTAATCTTCAGAATAACCCTGTAAAGTGGGTATTATTAGAGGCTCAAAAAAGTTGTCACAGGACATGCCAAAGGTGTCACTAAAAGACACTTTCTAGAGTCTATGTTTCCTACACCTGAGTCAGGAAATTGAGGCCCAGCTGGTAATAGCGTGGGCTGGCCAAGCACTGGGCTGGCTAATGTGTGGTCACACCGCATGAGGTGCTGCCCTATCAGGCCCCGTGAGCTGGGCCTTCAGAGATAGTAGTTCCCTTGGCTGTGGAAGTTCAGGCCCCAGCCCCTGACCACTCAACTCACAGTCCGGTTGTGGCTTGGTATGGGGGGTGTGGGAGGAAGTCACTTCTCCCAAACCTTGGAAGGAAAATGGACAGACAGACGCTTTGTGGTGTGGTGTCCTGGACAACGATTAGAAAACTCACCCAGAGGACTTGCCAAACACGCTTCCCTGGTGTTGCCAAGCCCAAAAATAGATGGGATTTGGGGTTTGGTTTTAAATATAGCTTAATTTAAAAATAAAAACACCATTCAAAAAATGACTTTGTCTTGGAATCTAATTCAAGTCTTCTGTTTTAAAGCGATTATGGTCTCCCATTTGCTGGTGTCCTAGCTGAGATCGGTGGTAAAAATCAATGATAGGAAATACTTCTAATCATTAAACAGTATATGCATTTGCATTTCTATTTTCTGCTCACATCTGTCTTTCCGTGGATGTTTACAAATAAGCCTGTGTTGCCATCATTGGAACAACATAAAATGATGACTTATACCAGTAATAAACTTTCAACTTGGAAGGGACAGGATTTCCCATTATCCCAGCTTCTATAATTCACACTAGAAAACAAAGATATTACAGGTCAGTGCATACCCTGGAGACCCTACAGGTTTGCTTCTAGATCTCCACAGGCAAAATGAATATTCCAGTAATGTGAAGCCTACAATTTTTTTTATAGTTATTTCCCATTCCAGTGCATATAAAAGTTATGCTTATGGGCCTCTCTTCCATATTTCCTTTCAGGAATGGAGGTCCGTCCCTTTGGGATGTAACTTTCTAGCAAAATCTATCTTTACTTTTTACTATTAAAAAAACCAAAAAACAAAATTATGCTTACACTATCTCATTAATGTCTGTTAATGTGCAATAGAATTATGAAAAGATTTGAAATATTTCATGAATGACCATCATGTGACACAGAGAGTTGAAGCTACCGACTCATTGCTGTGGGGAAATGGTGCTAATAGACTTGCTAGAGCCATATCTGCCCTAGACCTTCAGCTTGGAGTAAAAAAGTTTTTGGACGTGTGATGAAGTGACGTACAATAAAAAGAGGTGTGCCTACTCCTAAGAATTCATTAAGTAAAACTGATTCTGATAATTAAGGCAAGATTGTTATAACAATTAGGATTAATTTTTATATTTTGCAATTGTCCATCTTCCTACTTTGCAGTTGGATTGAAGCCTGCAACTGGTTCTGTAAAGGGAACTTAAAACAATCTTTGTTGATCCTGTGTCACAGTCCCTCTCTCATCTCCCCTCCCCCCCAGTCCTTTGAAAGTCAAGGCCAAATTCCACCTCCCACCCATTGCCATTTGGTGATATTTTTACTTCTCTTAGGTACTATCCTATTTTCTTTTTCTTTACCGTTGACATCAGCGTATTTCTTATGAATGCATAATATATTAAATACATATGCATTTAAAATATTGTTTTGATTTGTTTGTGAGTTGTTTCTCTTAAAGGGTCTGTCTGGGGAAATGAGTAATTCCTCATATCCTGTTCTTGCAGGAAGAATTTTAAATCGTTTCTCCAAAGACATCGGACATATGGATGACTTGTTGCCTCTGACGTTTCTCGATTTCATCCAGGTAATGTTAAGGGCCGTGTCAGATTCTCAAAAGGAACATTGAAGTTCCTAACCATTTCCATGGTGGGGAGAGGAACTTACTGTGTCATTTTGCCATCATAAAAGGGCATGTTTGTAAAAGAAAGGTGTGGTTACTATTTGGAGCTAAGTTAACATGAGTAATACCTGCTGGGTAGGAGGGGCCATCCAGTCATGTCAACGTTTTTTTGTTTGCAGCAGGGACCTGCTTTGTGAATGGCTCCCAGGCTGCCTCCCAGGGATCTGGCGTGGATTTCATTTACTGTGAACACATTTCATAATACAGAAACAATCACCTCTCACGGAAAGATAGCCTAGATTAACCAAATTATGCATTGTATTACCACAAAGGACAAATATTTACGGCACCGCTTTTTTTTTTTTCTCTTCCCCCTGGTTAAAGACAGGTGTGGTTACTTACAAAGAAAAGATTAGTAATAGTAAGGTGAAAATAATACTTTGTGCTAACAAGGACAATAGAGAGCAATGATTGGAGATACAAAGCCTTTACAGGCAAGCATGTTTAAGCCAATAATTTGAGGACAGGATCAAAGTCACCTCAGAAAATGTCTGTTTTGTTTTTCTATTCAGTTTTTCTTTTCACACGTTGCTTGTTTTAAGTCTTAAGCTGTCTTTTAAAAAAATAGGGAGAGAAAAAAAATAGAAGACCAACAATCTCCCAGAAATATCTTCTTGTAGAGCGTTTGTATTGTCTATGAACGTGAGGTGTTCAGAAGTGTTGCTCATATGGTATTTTTTTTTTCTTTCTGTTGTTTCATTTGCTCTACTTCCCAGTGATTCAAGCTGGAAGACTCTTCTCCATTCTGCTTGTTTATTTTGGAAACAAAATGCATCCAATCCAAAGTTTTACATATTCTAAAAAGCTCAGTTGCAGTTACTAACACTTTTTGGATTTGAACCTTTTTCGCTTTCTCTGGATGACAGATTATAGTAGCCAAGCAGTGAGTGGACTAGCTAGAAAGCCAGGAAATAGAAAGGCTACAAGAGGTATGTCATTTGGGGCCAAGAGGCTCGGTTTCTGTTTTTGGTTGGTGTGTAAGGTTCACTTGTTTCTGGAGTAAGACTTACAATCTTCTGAGAACTCTGTGTTCTAAAAGGCGCCAAAATTGGAAATTTAGCAATGTTAGAAAAATCACTCCCAGCTTAAAATAATTCCAGGGATTCTTGTTAGCTGCTCAAAAATACAGCAGTGATGACCTGAGTGTGAATCACACGCAGCCCACTGTGAGGCTGGCCATGGTTTACTCACGTGTGACGTAAGCTGAGACTTTCAGGCTGTTTTTACGGCAAACCGACCTAGTGCTGTTCTCTGTTGTTCTCTCCTCCCCAAACTTATTCTGTGAATGTATTCTACTAGGTTTAACTGTGTATATAATTTATATTAATTATAGTTGATACCGTAGAAGCAGTCTTTTCCACTAAAAGTGCCTTTTTTGCAAAGAAGGCAGGTGACCTTACATAAAAATTGGACAGTGAGTGTCAGATGTTTTGAGAAGCGTGAGCTGTGGATTTTCATTCTTGGAAACTGTAAATGGGGCAGAGTTTGAGTTTCCAAAGCTAGGGTGGCCCACCGTGCGCTCAGTGGACAGGGAGCATAATACAGTACGTGGAAGCCCACCCATTTCTGCGTCACGAATGAAGGCAAGGATGGATTGTGCTTGGTTTTAGTTTTAGCAGCGTGAAGAGAGAAAATGCTAGTCTTGCTGTCCTCTATTCAACCATAGAGACAAGGGCCTTCCCCCCTCACCCTTTTAATCCTCTCTTTTAATCTCAGTCAGATTTATTGTTGAATGCTAGTAGGCCCAATTAGCTGATTTCTTGAATTCAATAGCAAAGGTAAATCTTAGTGTTATTGTCTCCAAGAAAGGAGTTTTCTATAAAGGATAACTCAGTTATCAATTATGATAAAGATCTATTGTCACTGGTTTTGTTTGCAGGTGTCTTTAATAAGACTTCCCATAATCCCTTCAGGAAGAAATATTTTCTCCTTTTAAAAATAGTATTAGCTAAATATAAAAGCCCTGATCCCTGCCATTGTTGTTGATCCTTTGAGGGACAGTTCCCAACATTCATTGTTTAAACGGTTGTCTGGAGGAATCAAGTGAAACTTAATAAACAATGCAGGAACTGGTTTGTCTTACTTTGTGTGCGGAAGCTTTTCTTGAGGGGATTTGCATTTGCTGGGCAGCCTTTTGAATGAGGTATCGCTGGATCATTTTGAAGTATTTTGGCCTGTTGCTATATTAGCCAGCAAAGATTATTTTTTTTTTATTAAAACCACAAAAAATGAATTTAACCTGCTCTCAAATAAAGGCCAACCAAAAAAAAAATGGTATTTTTTTTTTTAAAAGTAGATTTTGGCTCTGTCAAGGATTAAAACAACTCAGTGGTGTTCTGAGACTCTTAATGGAATCATGTAAACTTAAAAATAAACATTATGATGGCAAGCACCTAGAATGAAAACTAATTTTCCAAATCAAATACACTATATTCAATTCATTTTCCCCAATCAACCAAATGTTTAAAAGCTGTTAGTTATAACAGCAATCTTCTGGAAATTAATTAGAAGCCTATTAGCTTTGCTGGCTGAGCTGAGGGAAGGGAGTTGCTTGCAATATTTCTAAATCGGCTCCTGAATTAAAGCACAGTGAGGTCAGAATGACAGTCACCTTGTGTTGCTCTGTGACTTTGCTTAAGTGTTTCCATCAAGTTGCATTTTTCCCTCTTGGGGAGACAGAGTATACTTCAAGGAAGTTTTCTCTACCTTGACATTCCTTTCTTAATTCCACCTCCCCCCTCCCCTCAAATTAGGTAACTTTTCAAAACCAGGTAAACCATACAGGTTGTTGTAGAGTCCCATTGAGCCATTGAGTCGGAACCGACCCATGGCTGCCCTTCTGTTGGGTTTTCAAGAGCAGGAAACCCCCCAGGAGATGGCCCGTCTTCATCCTGAGGAGCAGATGGTGGATTAGAGCTGTGAGCCTTTGGGATTGCAGCGCAGCTTCTTACCAGTTGGCCATGAAGCTCTCTCTGTACATGCAGGCAGGATGAGTGTAATTCCTGAGAACAACGTCTTCTCATGCGGATCTGACATAGCAGTGACTTCTCAGGTCATTTGTCCATCTCAGTGATGCTTCGAAAGGGTTTGTTGACCCCTTTCTGAACCGAGAGAGTAGGACAGTTACCATCTGCCTTTGGGTTTTTTTGGGTTTGTGTTGCTTTTTCTTTTTTTCTTTTTTTTTGGTATGTGAGAAAAATTTGTATTTAGAATTAGCCAGCTGGACTCAGTTTAGATGATCCCAATTTTGTTGGCAACATCCAAAGCATCATATAGTCAGGAGCAAGTCGAACATAGGCCTTCTTCTCTCCATCAGGACTAATCAAAGTGTTGACCTTGGCCACATCAATGTCATAGAGCTTCTTTACAGCTTGTTTAATTTGGTGCTTGTTGGCCTTGACATCCACAATGAACACAAGTGTGTTGTTATCTTCTATCTTCTTCATGGCTGACTCAGTGGTCAGGGGAACTTGACGATGGCATAGTGGTCAAGCTTGTTTCTCCTGGGGGCGCTCTTCCGGGGGTATTTGAGCTGCCCTCGGAGTCTCAGCATCTTAGGCCGCCGGAAGGTGGGTGACGTGTGGATCTTTTTTTTGGCTGTGGATGCCCTTCAGGATGCCATATTGGCCTTTAATGCCTTTGCTTTGGGAGGGGCAGGGGCTTCCTTCTTCGCTTTCGGCACCATCTTCGCAGAAAGGGATTCCTTTGTTTTTTAATGTCTTTAAAAAACTTGCTGCTGACACTAGGAGACCCGTTGTTTTAACTGACATCTCACGCCCTGCAGTCTGATTTATAGTTTAGACGGTTTTGTCCACCTTGGGATGCTTCAGAGGAAAGGCTTGGTGATCTCTTCCAACACAGGGTCACCATGCACCCAAATCAACATGACCGCAACTGGGCATTTGCTAACATCTCAGCAGATCCAGTGGGCAAAAATCAGCACAGCTCTTTGAGCTCTCCCGCTCCTCAAGTAATCTCCTAATAAAAGCTTTCGCAAACTTACCATGACTATATCAGTGGGGTGGGGGCGGAAGGGGGGGAAGCTGTGGAAATTTCCTTGTTAGGAAGTTACCTTTGTTGTCTTGCGGGAAAGATCCTTCCTGCATACCATTTGATGCTCTGGGCCTGAAAGAATTTGAAGAAATTTATAGAAACAAATTGAATGCAAATCTAAATCCAGAGGTGAGAAGACCTTTGTGAGTAGGAAATCAAGTGTTTCACTTTCCAGAAGATTAAGAGACGGTAGTATCACTATTGATTTTTATTGAAAATAGAGGCATGTGAACAGACTTTATATGGAGAATTAAAACCTAATTGCTGTAGCAATAAATGCTGTAATTACACGCATCCGTGTGAACTTTTGAATCCAAAGCATGTTTATTTGCTCGCTCTTTTCTGTTTGATAATGGTGGTTTCGTTGACTTATACGTAATAGTTAAGAAATGTGGACCATTTAGAAATTGTGTTTCCACTTGAAACGAATCCTAAGGAGTTGAGGAAAGAGTCTTCAAAACGGGCCCCTCCATTGGTGCTGTCAAGCTTGGAATCATCAGTCCTGTCTAAGCAAGTCATTAAACAAGAAATCAGGCTCACATGTTACTGCTTTATTGATCACATGACCGAGATAATGACTCTGTTTAAAAAGTTGAGCAAAGAGTAAATTAATTGGCCAGGTGAGAGTTATTTACCTGCAAAAGAGTTATGTCTGTGTAAGCATTCACGGGTTTTGGTGTGTTTTTAAAAAGTATTTTGTATTGTTAGCTGTTCCTGCCAATGCGTATGGCTAACACAGCCGTGGAAATGTGTGTAATTCACGCATTTGAAAATTCTAATTAGCATGAGAGAAACAGAGGACAGTGAAGGATCATGACGTGTGGCTTTGAAAGTAAAGTTGACAGGGATGT